ATGAGGAGCCAGTGAATCAATTTCAACCTTAAATAAATGAGAGGTCGTACCGTGACATAAGTACGAGGCAAATAGTAAACATCAATTTATTTCTAATAGTTATCATAAGCTCTTTAGCTGACTTCGGGCTTCACAGAGGGAAGGTCATCAAAGTGGCAGAAAGTCGAGGGGTGGGGAACAGAAGAGCGATTCACAGGTGTAAAAGAGGCAGACAGACACAAAGGTAGAGAAAAAGGTAAGGTGAGTACTGTGAAAGGGGTCGAATATGACAACCAGGGAGGTCGTGGTAGTTTGAAGTCAGAAGTCAAATGCCGGTTAATAGATGGGGAAAGAATGATGATTCGCAGTTGTAAAAGAGACAAACAGGCACAAGGGCAGAGAGTGCTGTGAAAGTAGATGATATGACATATAATGGGGTCAGCTGGTTGGATACGGTATTCTTTTTAGCTTGTGTCTGTTATATGATTTCAGGACATTACCTGATATTCTGTCTATTAAATGTAAATTCCCTCGTATTTATTAATTTATACTCATTGAAGTGCAAGTAAAGTTGGAAGCTAAAATACCAAAATCTATCACTGAAGTTGAAACTATATTACCAAATCGGTGGAGATCTCGTAAGGAGGCAATGGTTTTGATAATAATTTTTATTTACATGATCCATGCCATAAATTATTTGCCTGATTCAGGCAACAAGTTAGAGAGTGCACTGTTTGTCTTCATCGCATCGAGGCAGTGAATTTGATTAAGGCACTCCTGGGGACATCGAAGTCGCTTACCGTAAGTCAGTGACGTTGACATACACGCAGCTGTCCAACAGCGGTCTGGAATGACAGGGCACATAATTAAAATGCTCCACCACCGCGGAAGTATCCAAACGGGACATGCACCCTTCGCTGGGGTACCATTGATGAAGGGATGCCCATTGGAGCAAAAACCGAGACGCCACACCCTCTGCTTTGCTCTGGCCGGTCTAATTAGAACTGGCCAAGGTGGTGGATACACAGGACCCACACCTTTGGGATAAGAGACTTTCTTGCCGCCAAACATTTTTAAAGGTGCCATAGATACAACCAGAAGGCAGCCATTAAAATTTAATTCTTTCTATGATATGACGAAGACAAGTCAAGAATAAACTACCCGGTTGGAGATAGTTAAGCACTTAAATAGCAATTACTTACCTGAACAACAGGCTTTCCTATTTTGTCGAAACATAGGTACTCTTGAGTATCTAAGTTCCTTAGAAACAGCCCACCATGTCTCGACTTCGATATCCACTCCCATTCCACTGGAACAGGAAACACAATCATTTACTGAGTTCCATGAAATTTAGACATTTCTCTACTTTCAATATGTGTGCATGCGACTTACCATTGAGACGGAAGGGATTGCGTTCCTGAACAACCAATTCATTAGAATTATTGGCGCCAGTTATATATGCATTTGACGGTGGAAAATAGAACCGAAAAATTGGGTACATCATCTTAAACCCTTCGTTTCCTTTCTTTGCTGTTGCCTATAATAAGTAAAAAAAACAGTTGTATCAAAAGTCCACATTTAGTTACTTTATACTAAAACTTACAGAACATGACTCCAAAATAAGTAAGAAGGAGAGGACGGTGATTGACAAAAACCTAAAAAAACAGACAGTTTTGAACGACAAGGCTTAAAAGGCACAGTAAGCATTATTCTCAAGAATATCTTATGACAGCCTAGCAATAAAAAGTGAAAAAGGAGCGATTTGGCCAGAAGGAAAGAGCCTAGTATACTTACAGTTTACTGTTCATGGTTAAGAACGAAAATGAGGTCCACGCAGAAATTGAGCTAACAGAATGATCAAATTGTTCAAACAATTTCTAAATTACAATTTTGTGATTTACATTTTTGTAATCAAGATATAAAAATTTACATTAACAATTTTAAGGTGATCATTTTTTAATTCAATTTTTCTATATGAATTACTCTAAAATTTTTTATTTGTATGAGAACGAAGATCTATTAATAATTTTTTCTTACTAATTTTATTTGCCTTTACAAATAATCCAATCATCAAATTATTCCCTCATATTTTGACGCCATAGAGATGTGGCAATTTTTAATTAATATGATGTTAAGCCATCTAGTCCTCAAGACAAATCATTTATTTACTAAAATTAGCTCACTTTTACCTAACGAAGACTCAGGATTGATTTTGCTTCGAAATATATCCACCATTTCCCTCTTTAAAAATTATTTTAATGAAGTTCGAATAAGTCACATGACTTATTCAAGCAAAAGTAAAGTAAAATTTATTTTATTCCTAATATTCCCATTAATCTTAGTGAAAGCGAAAGTAAATAGAAGGGGTTATGGTCCTTTTTTGACATATTTTTCTTATTCTCTAATTGAATATTATATTCGAGTCTCATTACTTGCGGGATGGCGAGGTGAGGTTGTGACAATGATGATTGCAAACATTTTTTTGTCAAAATTAGTTAATAAACCATTTGATTTCAAATAAACAGCATTTTGTAGTGTATAGCAGAGGTAGCATTAATAATTAGATTAAATAACAAAAACGCAATTCAAAATAGCAGAAATTCAAGAATGTTGCAATTGAATCGAAATGATAAGTAGACGGAGTTAATAATATTTTGTTTGCCGTTGTAGGGGCCGGTAGTCCTTATTTTGAATTATGATTGCGACAGTTTGGCTTTTGGAATTTTCATTTAATTTTCAAAGTTGATACCAAGCTGTTGATCTCAAATGTTACAATTTTTTGATAAAAAATGGGAGGTTTCACAACGACTCTCTAAAATTCTATTGGACCTTTAGATTTTTATTAATCTCCTTATTTCCATTTAATTAATATCTTAATTTATTCAAATAATTTCCCTACCTTTATTTAATTTCTTTTATACCCTGCACATCTCGCTTCCAGGCCTTCAAAACATTCATCTCACATAGGCAACATTTAAAATTGCCCTTTTCCTATTTGTCCTTTATGGATGGTTAAATTAATATCAAAAGAGAATTATTGAATCAGTAAAGCTAATTAGACCTAGATTAATTGATTTCATAGCAAAATCTATTTTTTATGACAAGGTGTATGAACTTTACGTGAAATTTCATTTCATTGTTTACAGACATTCACAATTGCTGAAAATAAATGTTTTAAGATGTATTCTATTTATCGATATTGCTTCCAACATTCAAGTGCCTACCAAATATTTACGTTTCTTCTACAGAACTTATGACTCAGGAAATCTGATCGCTCAGTCGTAAGGATAAGCTAAGTGCTTGAATTTTGAAGAAAAATTTTGTCCAAGTCTAATGAGACCATCCTATAATAGGTTTCATGCTGATTTGGGAGAGCATCTATGCTGTATGGAAATAGCAAACACATCGAAACTTATCTTCTCGCTTTAAACCGGTTGTAAACATTTGAATTGCTTCTGAGTCACAGTGAAATCCATTAATTGAACAACTGGGGAATTCGCGGCTAGTTTTAGCGAGAAAATTTTAGCTATTTCAATTTTCCCGAATATATCTTTGCGAACCACAAGGTTTTCCTACCGTCTCCATACCAATCTTTACTGACCCTTCTGCTCTTAATTTTTAATTTCAATAGCATCTAAATAAAATAAAAAATTGAATTATTAGCTGCATTCATTTATATTGCTAATTATTACGCATGTTCCTTCAATAAATCTGGATTAAAACTGCACCATTTGAATTGAATTTTCAGTGGCACCAATTATTATGTGGTCTGATTTGTGTCCATAAATATTTATTGTAAAACAGGAACGGATTGCAAGGAATTTCATTATGGAGTAGTGCTACCCACCTACAGATTCATATCCCCTCTTAATTCTTGCATTTTCGGTTGATTAATTATAATTTTTCCTAGCCCTAATTATTTTTTTAATTTGTTCATTTACAGTGCTCATATTAAAATTTATTTTAATGAAATATGACCTAGTGGCTTGATTATTTAAAATAAATTACCTAATTGGAACGTTTGCAAGCGACTTTAATTTGCACTAAGATATTCTAATCAAAATTTCATGTAAATATACTTTCGAAATAAATTTACTTTTTATATCCTTCAGTTCAAGTAAAAACACCTTAAATAAATTATGAAATTTAGGACTAAATCCCTTGCAAATTGATTGGAAGACCTTCCTGTTAGATTCCAGAATTTTTATCGTGCTCATTAAGCACCTGTTTTTTATTTGAATTTTTAATCGGTCAAATTTATCATTTCAATTAATTATTTTATTTAAAATCTAATATCAAATAAATAATAGATTGAATCACTCCAGTATATATTTATCTTTTCCCGGCACCTTATAAAAAATTGTATTAACGTTATAAAACAAGTATATATTATTTGAAAATTATTAGAAAATAATTCTTTATGGAAATACGTGAATTGCAAAATATACTGAATTGAAATTAGTAAATCTGCTTAACATGTTAAGTCGCATTATTTATAGGAAAATATATGAGCATCTTTCATATTAAAAATGTGGACAAAAATTCATAGGCCTTTTCAATTAAGTAATTTAGCAATAAAGTCGAAGCATTACTTTTTAAAAATAACCCCAATAATTATAGAGCATGACTTGATTAAGAATGAGTTCCATTCTACTTCAGGGCGATCATGTGATTGACCTAATGACCTAGTCACATGGCCACGTGATTGTACACACCTGTAAGGGTTTAATCACCAATTCACGTGAAATGCATGCTTTCAGATCCTCATGATCTAGTGGTTTGAAGTGGGAAATGTTACCTAGGCTCTCAGCTCGTCGGCGTAGTCAGAGATCACGAGTTTGATCTCTATTGGTGATTAACCGGGAAATTAAACTCATGCCCACAGAGGCTAAGTTTTAGCAAAAAGAATGGGAGAACTAAAATGCTATCTCTAGGACAAATTAAATTTTTGAAGTAACTATTTTTTCGTAATATTGGGCGTTAAATTGCGCACATTTAGAGTACAAGTAGTGTAGCCATATAGATTATTATTTGACAGTTAATCCCCTTGCCTTTAAGAGGCTTGAAGAAACAACCATTCTGCTTAAGGGGCTATTCTGGTCTAGAAATAAAAAAATCGAATTTCTTTTTTTTCATATTTTCATAGTTTAACTATTTAAGAATATGTCTACTATAGGATTTTCCGAAATTCAAATTAGTTTCGTAGATATAAGTATTTTGCTAAGCGGGCATCCAAATCGGTTGAGCTGCAACTACTCGAACAAAAGACATAATGGGTTCTCCGACTACCTGAATCTATATTTACGGAACAGGAAAACACCAGTTTTACGAGTGTATCAGTA